ATATAACGGCAAATCCTTAACATTCATGATTCTAACAAGAACATTTTTAACTTTGGTAAGTACTGACATGACACGCAGATCACACAGATCTAATCACGTGAAAGAGGTCCAAGAAGGAGGCCAGTTCTCTGCTTTGTACTGAGTTCCCAACAGCTGCTTGTTCATAAATTACAGGCAGCAGGCTGGTCATTCTTTGAAAATGAGTGTTCAACATCCACTCCCTGCAATGCTGAACGCAAGGGTGTAGGAAGAAGGCAGGTTCCAGACGTCGACACCTCGCTGGCACTGAGAGCACGGGGTCCAGTTGCGGGGCTACTGGCCATTCTCCTTGGGGCTCTGAGCACCAAAGCACCAGCTCAGCTCCATCACACTGAGCCCTCTCGGGCTCCCTGTGCTCCAGCTGCTGACCTCCAGGGTCTGAGGGCACAACCTCACTGGACGGAGCACCCCAGACCCACCCACTCCACTGCTTCTCTGTCTGACTGCACTGAAGAGCCCGAGGTAGCAACAGAGGCCAGGCCCTGCTCCTCCTCCTCCTCCTCCACCTCTCAGTGTCTCCTGGTGACTAAGAAATGGGCAAGAAGGGGGTGAGCTTTCAGAACAGCAGCTGGAGTGACAGCTAACACCCCAAATGTCTGGTGCCTCAGCGTGGATCCTAGACCCGCTCCCGACTCCAGCTTCTTGCTAGTGCTGACCCGGGAAGCAGCGGGTGAAGGCTCGAGTTACACAGGGCTCCTGCCACTCACGTGGGAGGCCCAGATTGAGTGACTGGCTCCCAGCTTCATCCTGGCTCTGTGTGGGCTGCTGTGGACTTTTGAGGAGTCAAACAGCAGAAGGGAGCTCTCTCTCACTTCCTGTCTCTGCCTTTTAAATAAATAAAAAATTTTAAATGGTTAAAAGGTCAGATTTTATTTAAAAAAGAAAATAAAACGTATATGCTGCTCTCTTACAACAGAAATGGAAGCCATCAGCTTGTACCAGAGTCAGTCATCAGTCTGGTCTTGTTTTATTCCTCCCAAAATTCTCTCAGGAACCAATGTGCATGGAGGTAAGACCTAAGCTGCTCAGGCTGACCATTCAACCTGCTGGCAAGCTTCGAGAAAGCGAGCACACGCCCCGCGAACAGGCAACTCTGCAGTAAGTGACCTGCAGATCACTCGTACGGGTTTGCTGGAGGCAGTCGAGCACAGAGCAATGTGTGAATTCTCTGAATGCTGCTTCGCCAGCTTGGACACGGCTCCAAGCTAAACCAGCCGGGGACAGTGTCAGATGACAGCCACAGTAAATCCACGGGCAGCTGGGGGAGGGGTCATCTGCACTCACAGTTTCCCATGCACCCTCTTCTTTCTTGCTGCCTGTCCAGGAGTGTCCACAAGCTTTCCCTAAAGAGATCTACAGGACTCAGCACTGGACAAAAACTGGATCTTGACCTTCAGAAAAAACTCCAGCTAGTTTTTCATGTCTACCTCAGAAAGCACCTGTTGGTTCCTAATTTCTCAGTGAGGCAAAGCTCCACAAAATGTAGCTTCCTCGCATCTCTGGATCCGTATCAAGGCACTTCGAGGACAGCTAGGAGCAGAGAGACCGTGCCGCGCTACTGCTCAAACCTCAGCACCCTGCCTCCTCAGAGTTGGGGACAAGCATCTGTGTGTGGACACGGTCCAACTCTAACTCTAAACCACCTTCCAGGCAGACAGTTACTAAGGAAGTGTCACTTCTCCACAACGAAGCAGTATTAGGAGGCTGGTCATCACAAACGGCTGCTCATCAATCATACTGTCTTTGCCACCTAGTGACTCACATATGCTGCTAGCAACAATGCACTCCTATAGGGCTTCCAGATGCAAAGGGTCTGTCATGAAACAACAGGCTAAGAATGGATTATTAAGGAATAACTTTTCCGCCCTTCTACCAAGTACTAAATAGGGATTTTTTTTTAAATTTATTTGTTTAAAAGGTAGAGTGACCGAGGAGGCAGGGAGACAGAGAGAGATCTCCCATCCACTGGTTCATCATTCCCACATGGCTGCAAAAGCCCATGTGGGCCAGGCTGAAGCAGCCTGCGCTCCAGAGCTCCTGAAGCCCAGAGCTCCACCAGGTATCTATCGCCCATGGGTGCAGGGGTCCAGGTGCTGGGATCATCCTCTGCTGCTTCCTCAGGCACTAATTAGCAGGGAGCTGGAGCGCAAGTGGAGCAGCTGGAACCTGCACCTGCACTCTGATCTGCATCGCTGGCTTCACAGTAGTGGCTTAACCTACTGTACCACAATGACAACCCCTACATTCAGAACATTAGTAGTGTACAAAAGGTGGGCCTTTTTCCTCCTACCTACAGGGTCTCCAAGCAGACAACTGGCCTCATTCTCCCTGTCACCCCCACTCAGGTCCCAGCACAAAGCAGGCATCAGGAACTTACTAGTGAACAAACACAGATGTGGTGTGTTCCTTGTCCAAAACCCTTAAGATCAGAAGTATTTAAGATTTAACAGTATTTCAGCAATGTCACATTTTCATACACATCACCAGTTGGACATGCCTAATTCGAAAATCCTAAATGTTCTAAAATTATAAACTCATGCTCTTTGGATTTTCAGATCAGGGATGTTCAACCCGTATCAAGCCATGCATTTCTGTGCTCAACAAAGTTCATCTGAAGTGGTCAGCTGCTGATCACAGAAATTACAATGACCACTCGCTTCTCACAGCACTCCTGGGGCCAGCACTGTGGAACCGCAGGTTAAGCGCTGCATGTGAGGCCCATGTTCCACACTGGAGTGCCAGTTTGACTCCAATCCAGCTCTCTGCTGATGCACACAGGAAGGCAACAGGTGATGATGTGGGAGACCCAGACGGAGTTCTCAGTTCATGGCCTTGGCCTGCCCAGCACCAGCTGTTGTGGCCATCTGAGGAGTGAACCAGCAGACGGAAGACCTGTGTCTTTCTGTCTCTTCCTCTCAGTCACATGACTCTTCAACAAGCAATAAGCTCTTTAATGAAGTACTCTAGGGAACTACTCTTATTATTCAGGAATTGGACAGAAAAGGAAAGAAGGGAAACAGGAAGGGAAATGGTGGAATTGCCGTCTGGAAGCCGTAACAGAGAACAGCTCTCTTTTTTATTCTTTCCTCCTCCTTCTTTTGAGGAGGAAAGGAGGGAGGAGGACAGGGAGAGGAGCGGGGGGGGGGGGGGGGGAGGAGAAGCGCAGGTGGGGTGGGAAGGATCACTATGTTCCTAATGTTGTATTTATGAGATACATACAAATTAAAAACTAATAGAGCTATACTTCGACTGTGAGTCACACTGAGATAAACCCAGCCTTGCCCTGCCACTCACCAGAGGTTCCCAGCAGATGTGCCCAAGAGCAGAGTCCTAGGTGCGTGTTCCCAGCTCCCCAGTGTCAGCACGACCCCACCAAGACAGTGAGCAGAGCACTCGTCACTGACCGTGACATAAATTCGGGGCTCTGTCCACTGCCGCCTGTCACTCCAGACACCGCCCCACATTTACTCGGCCTGTCCTCGGTGACGGCGACGGCTTCCTGCTGTCTCCATGTCTTTCATGATCTTGATACCCGTGAGAGTAAGGATCAGAATATATGGAATGTCCCTTGATTTGAGTTTGACTTGCTTGTTTTATTGGGTTGAGATTTTTTAAAATGTGTCTCTCGCAGCACTAACAGACACAGAAATTTTAAATATCTGAGAATTATTCTCGGTGACTGAGGCACATATCCCCTGGATTCTGTTTTCTGGCGCCCATCACAGCTAATTCCAGCTCCACCACATAGAGCGGGGCAGCATCTCACAGTTCAACATGGACGTTAGCCACAAACAGTCCTCTAAAAATCTAAATCTAAAGTAACACGGCAAGTAAACCAAAACAGCTTTTGGAGAAACAGGTGCATGGTTACAGCCTTTTTATGGTTGTCCGAGGCAGCTTACCCTGCTGTCCACCACACCGGGCCCGGCTAACCCACACGACGCTCAGAGGAATCTTGGGTGCTAAGAGACCAGTTTTATCCCCACTTTACAGATGCGGAAACTCAAATATACAGAGTCTAGTGACTCGCTCAAACGCGACACTGAGCTGAAGGAGTCAGTTTTCCCAGTCAGCTTTCTGAGCCACTGCCCCACACTCACTCAGGACACACGCCCATCCTGGCTGGCCTGCACGGGAGGCGGCACAGAACACCGCCTTTGTCAAACAGGCAAGTAACGCGGATCAGCCACCAACTGTGGCCCGCCAGGTGCCGCATGAGATGGAGTAACTTACTGTTGATCTGTGAAATACTCGCACTACAATAGTATTTTCTTCAATACGGAAATAAGGAACAAGTCCCAAATCTCATGGCTGATCTGACCCCGAAGTCTGTTTCTCCCACTGCCTGTGGATGTCATCACTGGGTGCTCTGTGCTGGTTAGGGAACCACTTCAGAGTCCGCCCTCGGAGGTTCCTCAGCTGGAGTGCGAACTCCAGGAACCAGTAAGAGCTCAGGCTCCGAAAAGTCACCAGTGCAGGGAGAGTCCACACGGTCGAAACGGGAAGAGAGAACTTCAGGGGGCACCGACACCTAGTGTGCAGGCGCCGTGGACAGAGACACAGGGGAAGAGAGAACTTCAGGGGGCACCGACACCCAGTGTGCAGGCGCCGTGGACAGACACACAGGGGAAGAGAGAACTTCAAGGGGCACCGACACCTAGTGTGCAGGCGCCGTGGACAGAGACACGTGCTGACACTCGGGATCCAGCTGCCATGACTCTTTCACGTACGTATTCTTTTTCTTCCTCGTGTCAGAATACCTGAGACTGCAAAGGCCAGGCGACAGGACACTCATGTGACCTGGTCAATTCTGTACTCAGCTGGGGACCATGTACAGTCAGGGAGTGAAACCACGGCTCTGTGGGAGAAAGCTGTCCTATGAACACCTACAAGCCACTAATATGTAAAGAGCAACTAGCAACGTTTCAGCACTTGATTATGACAAAGGAAATTCTAATTACCTTGACAGAATCCAGCAAACTCTTAGGGAAAAATCGCTTTAAACCAACATCTTTTCTGAAATACAAAAAGAAGCAGATTAACAAATAACAGTAATTAACATCACGACATACCTGCAAGAATGTGAAAGCATGTTACAATTCTTGTCCGGGAAGGAAACAAGCCTGGCAAAGCCCCTCAGCACGTGTGTGGACGGCGTGCAGGCCCCGGCGCCCTCCAACGTGCACAGAAAACAATGCCACACGCGGCTTTACGCGAATCTTCTTCTTTGCACGGCGTTGTTGAAAACTGCTGAAACACATCCTCTTGGAAAGTCACACACACGAGAGACTGCTCTTCCCCAGGAACTGCCTGGGGGCAGCTGCACAGACACCAGTTCTGCAGAGGCTGTACTGTTTTGTAGAGAAAGTAGCTGGCCAGATGATGAAAGATTCAAGATACGCCTTGGAAGTTTAAAAAAAAAAGTGCCCTTTGGGGCTGACATCATGGCATCGTGGGCTAAGCCACTGCCTGACACTGGCATCCCAAACGCATACCGGTTCAAGTATCGGCTGCTCCCTTTCTGACCCAGCTCCCTGCTAACACGCCCGGGAAAGCAGCGGAAGATGGCCAAGTGCCTGAGCCCCTGCATCCCACACAGGAGACGGAGACGAAGCCCTGCCACCCGGCTGTGGCCTGGCCCAGTCCCAGCCACTGAAGCCTTTTCAGTTAAGAGTGAACCAGCAGGCCGGCGCCGTGGCTCACTAGGCTAATCCTCCACCTAGCGGCGCCGGCACACCGGGTTCTAGTCCCGGTCGGGGCGCCGGATTCTGTCCCGGTTGCCCCTCTTCCAGGCCAGCTCTCTGCTGTGGCCCGGGAGTGCAGTGGAGGATGGCCCAGGTGCTTGGGCCCTGCACCCCATGGGAGACCAGGAAAAGCACCTGGCTCCTGGCTCCTGCCATCGGATCAGCGCAGCGCGACGGCCATTGGAGGGTGAACCAACGGCTAAAGGAAGACCTTTCTCTCTGTCTCTCTCTCTCACTGTCCACTCTGCCTGTCAAAAAAAAAAAAAAAAAAAAAAAAAAAAGAGTGAACCAGCAGATGGAAGATCTCCCCGTCTCTGAAACTCTGCCTTTCAAATAAAGTAACTCAAAAATAAATAAGTCCCTTTGACTTATCCTAAAGTCAGCGATTTTTAGAAAGAAACTCCTGTTAAAGGGACTCATTCACCTACGCACAGGCTGTCACCTGCTCCACCTAAGGAAAGCAAAACCACCCCAGAAGCAAGTGACTCGCCCCAGGCCAGCGGCTGCATCCGCGAGGCTGGAGCCCCAGTCTCTTTTAAGTCAGGCTACACAACTAAATCAGTCCTCATTATCAAGAGCCTCAACACACTCTGGCCAAGAGAGCAGACTGGAAAAAGCAACACTTTCTTTTTCGCCTACTTTGGTAGTAAGTTACCAAGGTGGTCAGCCACTAGATGGCACTTGTGTGCCGGGACAATGAAATGACAGCTCTGAAGTAACTTCCAAGAGACGCTGGGAAACAGAATGGGAGAGAGGGGCAAAATACAGGCATCTTCTCAGAACCACAAAAAGAAAAAATCAACTGGATACAAAGGATCAAACTGAGCGATCACTTGTTCCTGAACTGAGCTGACTGGCAGTGTACACAAAACAGAAGTCACGTCAAATCCCTGCTTCATCCTAACATTTTAGTCCCTCATTCTACAATCTGTTACTTTGTACCTAAACCAACAAACTCTTGTTAAGTGCAAAACTGAGTCTCAGCTCCCACTCTGTTCCTGTTACTCCTCTGTTAACTCTACCCCACAACCTGCTTCCTGGCGTCAGCTGTCAGGGGCTCGTCAATTGCTGCCTTTCCACTTCCAACCTCTTTCCCTTGACAGCTCCCCCGCATCCTCTCAGAACTGCGGCTACCTGCTCTGAGGATTAAGGGGAGAGTCCGCCAAGTTCTTACAGGTGTCTGTTGCCTTATAAAGATCAGAGTCTACATGTTAAGGACACTGATGCTGACCGCCACTGGGAAGCAGGAAACTAAGCATCTAAGAGAAAGCACCTCCCTAGAATCCCCAAAGTACTTACCCTGCGCATTCAATCTCGCATCCTCTCTCAGGAAACTGTTCTGTGATAAGCAGCATTTATTTTCTGTCAGAGTTCTGGATTCAAGTCTTGGTACTAACTTGTGTGAATGTCAGGTTATGCCAATTCCTACAGCAGAAAAACTCAAAGGGGGCAGGCAGTTTCCTTTCCTGTAATTATCCTAGAAGCCCCTTGTCCAGAGAGTGTGTGGTCCCACACCCCACTCGTGTTAGTGCCAAGTGAGGTATGGCCCAATCCCAAGCTCGGAGGAGGGCAGCAGAGGGCAAGAGAAGTGGGGGCACTGTGGAGACACAGTGGACAGACTCGAGTGTCCGGCAGAGCGGGAGACGCTGCGGGAGGGAAGGCTGGTGGGCACTGTGGAGACACAGTGGACAGACTCGAGTGCCCGGCAGAGCGGGAGACGCTGGGGGAGGGAAGACTGGTGGGCACTGCGGAGACACAGTGGACAGACTCGAGTGTCCGGCAGAGCGGGAGACGCTGCGGGAGGGAAGGCTGGTGGGCACTGCAGAGACACAGTGGACAGACTCGAATGCCCGGCAGAGCGGGAGACGCTGGGGGAGGGAAGGCTGGTGGGCACTGCGGAGACACAGTGGACAGACTTGAGTGCCCGGCAGAGCGGGAGACGCTGGGGGAGGGGAAGGCTGGTGGGCACTGTGGAGACACAGTGGACAGACTCGAGTGCCCGGCAGAGCGGGAGACGCTGGGGGAGGGAAGGCTGGTGGGCACTGCGGAGACACAGTGGACAGACTCGAGTGCCCGGCAGAGCGGGAGACGCTGGGGGAGGGAAGGCTGGTGGGCACTGCGGAGACACAGTGGACAGACTTGAGTGTCCGGCAGAGCGGGAGACGCTGGGGGAGGGAAGGCTGGTGGGCACTGCGGAGACACAGTGGACGGACTCGAATGCCCGGCAGAGCGGGAGACGCTGGGGGAGGGGAAGGCTGGTGGGCACTGCGGAGACACAGTGGACAGACTCGAGTGCCCGGCAGAGCGGGAGACGCTGGGGGAGGGGAAGGCTGGTGGGCACTGTGGAGACACAGTGGACAGACTCGAATGCCCGGCAGAGCGGGAGACGCTGGGGGAGGGAAGGCTGGTGGGTCATCGGCTCTCTGCAGACCTCGAGTCCTCCTGGTGAGCCTTCCACACAGTGACTGGCCTGGGGGGAGCAGGGCAGGGACAGCCTCTCCTGACCCTGGAGCTGTCACTAGGGCTCCACATCTGGTTCTCAGAGCCAGGGGAGGTAAAGAATTTACCACACTCGTTTCTGTTACAAATGAGAAAATTAAAAACGAACCAAGAAGCTTGTTACGTTTCAAGGGAAGTCAAAGAGCACTTTTCTTTGTGAAAATGAAGACTATTACTAGGTGTCACTTTTATTTCAGATGTGAAAACAACTCCACTAGGAAAACAGAAAAGCATGGATGGCAGTTTTCCCCAACGCTCTTGAGTGCTAACCAATGTGTACTGTATGTCTACATGCTCAGATAACTGGCAGGTGAGGGGAAAAAAAGAGGCTACAGCCCATACAATTACGGGGGTGGGGAAATCCAACACCAACTCCAACATACTTCGACTTAATCCAGGAAACGGTCTAATTCGGGCTTTGTAACAGGAGATTCTGAAAGCACCTAAGGTACGCTCAAGGGATTTAGGGACAGACTATTTAGGCATCTCAATTCGGAACCTCTCTTTGGACTCTGGGCAGGGCTGCGGGACGCTGTGCCGCCTCTCCTGGAGCTCTGTGCGTCTGCACTGGTGTACAGCGCGCACGCTCTCTGCAGCAGCTCAGCCCCGCCCTTCAGCTCATGCCACACAGACGGAACAGCGATGCAGTGTGCTCATCACCAACACAGTACGGCCACTGGCACCGGCTGTAACTCTACTGTGCTAGTAACTGTCAAAGGACATATCTATCCTAAGTGCATTGAAACTCATGTGATAACGCTGGCACACAGAAAGCTTCTACAACACTGCCGAACCCAAGCACCACTTCATTAGATTCCTATCAGGTCCTCAAAAGACGGGGAATTTACATTACATTAGAGCTGTGTTGTCCAACACAGTAGCCACTAGCTGTCTGCAGCTGTCCAGAATTAAATTCCATTCCCAATCACATTAGCTACAGCTCAAGTGCTCAGTAGCCCTGTGTGCTAGTGGCTCATGTTCCCATCACCGCAGAAAGCTGCAGAGGGCAGGGCTGGGCCAAAGCGAAGGATGAGGATTTCTCTCTGACTCTAAGGCAGGGGCGGGGAGCACCCGGCCGCGGGCCACAGGAGGCCTGTGAACTCACTTGGCGCGGCCCTGCCAAGGCAACTACAGATGGGACCTGAAATTCAGGAAATCTAGAGCAGGTTAATTTTCAAGTAGTTAGCTTTGAACTGTCTGTGAATTATGTTATAAATACTCAAACGCTGCTGTCAGGGAAAAGGTTCCACACCCTGCCCCGGAGCTCGGGGGTCCGAGAGCCTCTCAGTAAAGGCAGGGACGGGAAAACGGAGAGGTGGTGGCTACTGTGCGCACGGCAACCGTGGGACAAGCACACGGGAGGATGGTGGGGTGGGGCAGGCCCAGCTAACGACACAGCAGCTCTGACAGGAGAGAGCTCACGCCGCGGCAGGGCCTCTCACTGAGACCGCCTGCCTGTGTGCTGTGTCTTCCCCTGTCCCCCAGGGTTACAAGAGCAGTATCTACTTTCTCTTAGATTCCAATTATTTTGACTTGAAGCCAAAAGAAGGAGAGCCCGTGCTCATTTACTTACTCCACACTCCGGGCACCGCAAAGGCCACTGGGTATGGCATCACTCCTCCTCCTCCAGTGAGATACTTACACAGGCAACTAAGCAGACCACAGCGGGAAGCCAACTACAGGATAAGAGTTCAAAACCACCACATTTTGCTGATGAGACTTAGCGCTTCTCGGTCTTAAAATTATCTTTGTGATCAATTTTAAATTAGAATG